CTTGTCTTCATGCAGAATTATGAAGATCTTCAAGCGTTTGTAAGTGGTACATGTGGAAATCATTGCTGTATTAAGAGAGAGTGCAGGGTTCAGAAGGAAAGTGAAGTTCTTCAAAAGACAGGTTTCTGGACTAAATTGACAACTAGGCTACGTCAGTGTAGTCTGTGTTCTGCCGATTCCAGCGCTTCGTCATCCAGCAGTATATGACATTTGAGGTGTGTTTGGCAGATGGTTTGTGGACCCAATGGGAAGATGATAGTCCTTTTTACACTTTATTTTTTATTTCTTTTGAGGGCTTTTTTTTTTTTTTTTCTGTTCAATCGTAAGGTCGTGGTTTTAGGATACTGGCATAACCTACAGTGTCAAAAGGCAGCACTAAGATTTGCTTGCTTGCTTGCCTGACAGTGCTTGTGTACAGAGTGTAGGAGTTGAAAGTGAAAACCTAAAATGTTTTGTGCAAAGACTGTACGGAAATTTAGAACAGCTTAATTCTTTGTAGAGGGAATAAATTATGAGCTCTGTGGCTGATGAAATAACTAGTATCCCATTGCATAACCAGATCCCTTTGTGCATTTTTTCCTCAACATTTTCCGCCACCACCTTAGCTCTGCTATCCAGCCTTCGCTCTGTGTATCCACCTGAAACTTAATATATTTTGGAAAGGAAAAATATTTGAGCTTAAACTGAGAGTGATTGTAGACTGATAATTTTGATTAGTTAATGCTGTGGATTAAAATGTAATCCTATCTATGTTCATGCTTAAATACTTAAACCACAATGACCTAGTACAGTCCTAAAGTATAAACTTGTAAAATATTTAATAGTGTTTACTTCTAGTTTCAGTATAACTGTGTTGCTCACTTTTACTTAAGTGTGCATTGCTCTTCTGTGGTGGGCAGTAGTAGGATCAAACAAAGTTTATCTTAGTATAAGCTATTTATAAATTGCAAAGGCCTTGATTAAGGTGAGAGGGAGGAGCAAAACCTGAGCAACCCTGATTTTGGAAGTACAGCTAAATTGCAATATCGATGAGTACTAGTAGATGGAATATAGCAAAATGGTTAATGGAAGTGTTTTCTTAATTTTCTTAAAATGACGAGAGAGTGGTAGCACTCCTTTTTAAGGACAGGAGTGAATTCTGGAGATATCTTAAAATTCACTTTGCTTTTGTGCCCAGGCCAGATCCCAGAGGAGTAACTGTATAGTAACCAGGCAGTGGTTCATCTCACTGTTACTTTTGTCGGTGTGGATATGATAACTCGCAGATGGAAGAAACTGGTACAAGTGGGCTTTCATTAGACCTTTCATAACTTCCTTGGAGGCAAAGGTTTTGAATCTACAGTTCTTGTTTTTACCATTAACACTCTGACATCTACTAACACATGTCCATCTTTAGCCTAAGTTTATAAATATGTAGTTTTGTCTGATTCTTGGTAAGTTTTCGGGTAAATGGTTACTCACTACTGTTAATGGGATTGGTGTCTACCTTTGCAAGTGGACAGAAAGCAGTTATTTGTAGTTATTTAGTGACTTGGGGGTGTTTTCTAGTTGAAGATCAGTTATCTGTAGTATTGCGATAACTTCTTCAGGATGCCTGTTTTGGAGAGAGTGGCTACCAACCGCGGGTTGCAGCCCTGGCAGCTTTCACTTGTTGTGATCTCATGTTTTTATGACTGGTGTCTTACGGTTAATAATGAGCCTGATATTCTTATTAGCAGTATCATGTCTTTATGTCTGTTGTTGTTCTGTAAATGCTGTTCTGCGTTTTATTGGTTACATCTTGAAGTGCAAAGTAGGAATATTTCACTGTATTTGAAGTTCAATCTCTTCTATACTGTAGAAATTATAATTCAGCTTTTTGTTAAAATTAAATCCTCTGTGGAATCTGATATAAGCACTGCACTGATGCAAAAGGAAGAGCTGAAGGAAGGAACAATATGAACTGCAAAGTCCTTGTGCTAGAAATTCCTGCGTTCTGTTTTTCTTTAAATGTAAAAGCAGCGTGGAGCATCTGCCAGTCTTGTAGTCCACAGGATAGAGTACCACTGAAGAAGTCTAGTTGTGTAATAGTCTGGTGCTTACTTACTTCTCTTTAAAAAAAAACCAAACCCAACTATCAAAAGTCATTATTCATGAAATGGAATAAACTGGAATTTCCACTTTAATTTGACTGTGGAAATTGCAAGTTCCCTGACTTGAAAAACAGCTCTTTACAACGTGTGCCAAACAACATTATCGTGCTAAGTGTGCTCATGGTGCCAAAACATAGCTTTTAGGTTGAGCAAACATTAGTTACTGACATCACTGACCTGACAAACTGCAGAGCAAGCCTTTCCACCTCTATTTAGCTGATAAACTTTATCAAAAGATGGCCTATTTGACAAAGAGCAATTTTCTGTAAATATATTGAATGCCATCCTCTTTGCTTTGGCAGTCGGTGCAGATCCATTGTTAAATTAGGCGACTGACCCAATATTGAACAGCAGCAGGTTATGAAAGATATGGAAACTATGTCAGGAGAGAATTTATGCTGCAAAAAGTGAGCATCTCTTTAATGAGAGTGATGAAAGTCTTACAGAGGGGCAGATAAAAATCTCGGTCACATGTCTGATGTTTTTTTTCTGCATCCTTCCAGATGGAAATTCCGTATTTGGAACAGCTGTAAAATTCTGAGTACTAGCTCAGAAACTTGTAATTAAATAGGCTATCGGTTAAAATTCCTCAATATGTTTGCTGGCTTGGTTTTTTTTTCAAAGGGAAATATAAGAGTTTCCTCTGTCAGACCTTCAGCCATCCAGTAACAAGTCTTGTAGTAGAGACATTTCTTAAAACACGAAATCTCAACGCTTTGGGGAGCTTAGTTAAATGATCTGTGGAAATGGTGAAAACATGGGGGGTAGCTCAACGTAGCTCTAAAAACCAGACTGTGTAGCTGCAGAGTTAGGATGGAGATTCAGGCTGAAGCTTGAATTGGTATATTAGTTGTTTTGGTTCTGTTGGCTTGACTGGACGTACTGTTCTCCAAAGATTGAAAGTGCAATGTGCTGCGTGGAAGACTGGAATTTTCTTTAGGAAAAAGGATGTTCAGTCATTTGCTTGAGGTTTTTGCAAGCGTTTGTCTTGGTTGAATTGCCAGCCTGTCTGTGCATTAGTCAGCCAGCATCATTTTTAAAAAAAAAAAAAAAAAAAAAAAAATCCAGACTGGAAGACAAGGAAAGTTCTGTTGGCTTACAAAGCTGTCTTCTGTTCTTAGTATGTAAGTACAGAGTTTTAAATAAATTGGAAAATGAGAAGTGAGATTTTATTACTGGTTTTCACTGCTAGTTATGAGGAAAGGACGGAGGTGAATGCACTGTAAAGGTTGTCTTAAATTTAGAAGGATATTTGGATATAATCAGGTTTTTATTAAAAATAATCATAAATCTGAGCTGTTGTTGAGCTAGAGTAAATTAGTATTGGGAGAGGAGGAAGGCTTAACATCAGTCTGCAAGATTGCACTGGTCTGCCTTGGTTCTGTGCTTAGCTGTAGTATTTTATTTTTGTAGTTAGAACCCTGAGTACTGATATTCAAAGAATTACTAACCTTGTGAAAAGTTTATTATGACTGGAGTTTAGACCTGCTTTTTGTATACACAGGCATACATGTATAAAAATAGATAAATTGCCACTGAATGTTCTAGTTTTGGGCAATAACTTGTAGATACTACAGCACAGTAGCGAAGTATTGCCAATATTATTAGATTGTAAGATTGAACTTTAAAATTGGTGGCTAAAGTGCGTAATGTAAGACTGCATACTCTGCATTTTAGTTAGTTTATGTCTCTATTTACTGGAGAACTGTTTTATTTTGGTTTTGATTTATTTTTGCTTGTCAGACATTAGAACATTGGCTTCCTCTAAACTGGCTTTGTCTAGAAACAAGCCTAAACACTTCAGTGGGCTAAAAGAATCGATCCAAAGCCCTCTGCTATCCCTGCCCTTAGCAGTCTGGAAGTGTATGTTCCTGCTGTATGCTATGATGCTGCACTTATAGGGGAAGCATAAAGAACTGAGTACAAACTTGAGCTCCTGCCTGCTGCAGGGTGCTCTAGAATATCAAGGAAAGGCAAAACTCTGAGGTTAAACCTGTATAGAACTTCTCTCTTGGAAAGAATCTTCATGCTTAATCTGGTAGGTTTCCTTCGCATTTTGCTTAATATGGAGACGCAAGTTACCAAAAAGTGCAGGTGTACAGGAAGCATATCTCAGAGTAAAATAGTTGACTCGTGAAACAGTTGGAGAGCTGGCATGTACTTACATTGATAAACACGGTGACTATTAAAGATGTAGCTACACTGCACGTTAACTTGCTCTGCGAAGTAGGCACGGTGAGAGTTCGTGCTGCTGGTGCCTGAGCTGGTTCAGGTTACTGCACTGTGGTGCAGATGGCTTTGCTTTCACTGTAAGCAATGTGGCTTACATAAGCTGCTAGAAGGACAAGGGCTTTAGGACTCCTAGGAGGAGCTCCTGAAAACAGGACTGTTTTGGAGAAAATTCATCACGTCTTACTTTCTCTTGCCTGTGGAACCATTGGGTCAGTCTGCTTTTGCAGCTTCATTATGAGGCATGTAGGTCTTTCACTCTTATAAATACTTTATCCTCTGTGCAAGTAACGCATCTATCCTCTGTACCATCAAGAAGAGGGAAATGTGATGAGTCTGCTCAAAAAAAATTGTAAATGTAATCTTAGCAAAAAATACGTCAGTAGAAACACGACTCAGTTAAAATGTTTATTATTAAAAAGTATATGTACGCTACTTTTAATGTTACCCTTTTCTTCTGACTTAAAGCTGAATTAAGCTTTGTGTTCACTGATAAAAGCGTTCTTTGAAATTAATGGTAGCAGTTATATTGGTAATGAAAATGTGTGTCCTTGTGAATAATGCAGAAATGTGTATAAATAAAAATGTGCACTAAACTAATCTATGCATGTGTTGTTTTTTTTTTCCCCCCCCAGTAAAATGAAGCAAGGTCTCCTTCCCAGCTTAGAAGATCTACTTTTCTATACTATTGCAGAAGGACAAGAAAAAATACCAGTTCATAAATTCATAACTGTAAGTTTACTGTTCCAGAGTGCTGTATGAAAGCTAAATACTGCAAGTTTTTTTTCAACATTATAAGTGCAAGAATACAAAGCAAAGAATGTCTGTTTTACATGGTTAGCTGTGGCAAGGAATGTAACTATGTTTTTTTTTTTTTCCCTGATGCTGTTTATGTAATTAAGTAAGAGAATGAGTGTACTGGTACTGTTATTCACTACTTTGCTGTGCAGAAGAGTATGCTTGGAAGCATCTGTGTCTATGACAGGGCTGGGTAGTGTTTGTGCTTGTGTAAAATGTAGTTGGACCACTGTGGATTTCAAATGACATTAATCCTTTGACATCAAACACAGCTACAATGGGAAAAGGATCAATAAGGTGTCAAAATGTTTCTGTGTTGATAACACAGTGGCAGATGTTTCTTGAAAATAACTGAGCAGTAGAGAACTTGATTGTAATTAGCATAGTTTTTCATTTTAGTAATTATTGTTTTATTTTAATAGGCACTCAAATCTACAGGATTGCGTACATCTGATCCTCGATTGAAAGAGTGCATGGACATGTTAAGGCTGACCCTGCAGACAACTTCGGATGGTGTTATGCTGGACAAAGACCTTTTTAAAAAGTAAACTTTCTGTCAATAATGTAACTATAATTATGGATGAATGGTGTCTCTGTGTTACTGACTGCTATCTTAAGAGAGACATAAGGTACATAAATCAGCGTGTAATTAGAAAGGGAGTCAAACACATGGTCCTACTGATGCTATTTTCATATGAGTTTGTTCTCTGTTTCATGCAGCACACAGATCGTGTGATCTCCACAAGAGTTTAATGTATCAGTGTTGTTTGCATGTGTATCTGACTCCATACTCCAACTCTTGGTCAGATGCCAAATAAATTAATTGATGCAGCATGGAGTATTTATGAGCACGTAAAAATTCTCTCTCGCTGCATCATCAGTTTTTAATCTGAAGTTCAGGATGTTGCTTCTGTGTAGTGAGGTGTTCAGAGTATGTATGTAGTTAATTCTAAAAGTGAGTATATGAAAAGTAAGGTGAAGTTAAATTTCAAGATATGTAGCGGTGAGAGCAGTTAGGGCTAGACACTGCTTTGATCTGTTTTAGAAAATATTTATGTGGCATATTTTAGTGATACTTTTTTTAAAGAAAAGTCTGTGGTCAGTTAACTGAACAATATAAGCACTGTTCAGGTTGTCTTCAGTTCATTCCAAGGGATGCTCCTTTGCTCCTCTGGTTACGGTTTTTGTCTGCCAGAAGACTGGAGTTTTAGAGGCTCTTAAATCTTGAAATGAAATTTGTAGACTGTGAGTCTATGTTTTTATTCCATTTACAGGGTAAATGATATAATATCTAAAAGTTGCTGCTTTCACGAAGAGTATACTTTTGTCAAAATTGTTACATTTTTGTTGCTCTAGCATTTTTTGAATTTGTGAACTAGTGCTGTTCAGTACTACTTCCTCTCAGTTACATCTCAAAATATATATGTATGTATAAAACAGTGTACATATGTATGTGTTTATATATAATTGTGTGTGTATATATTATATACATAGAAGTATGTAAAGACATGGTATACAGGATATATTTATACTGTATTATATATTTACACAGTTTATATAAATATAAACATAAAGTATGTACCTGTTATATGTATTTTTAATATATACAAACATTTTTGAAAGTACATTGAGGAAAAAATGAATGTCTGTGCACGTGACAAAATAACCAGTTAACTCCTTAATCAAATATGGGGTACTTCCTAAACGTTACAATGTGGGCTAACTTTATTGCTTCATTTAAGTTCAAGACCAGGTCTTCACTGGTTATTTGTCAGCACAGTAAAAACTCTAAATTGCTAGAGAGTCAGAAACCTTCCTGGGTGCATGGTCAGATTGGATAGGAAGTGCTTTTGCTATTAGGCATTACATTTATAGTTGAAGGCTTGTTTGTAAGAGTAAACTATGAATTGTGTTTTAGGCAAGGGCTCTATGTTAAGAAAAAGACAAGTGATTGCTAATTAGAGGGCTGAAGATTAGCGTATGTTCTACGTCATCTCTAAGATTAGATCCTCTGTCTTAGAGGAGTGGTTGTTAGTATGATAATTTGTGGAAAACTTAGATGATTCCTTCTTGTGTAGGAAGACTTTTGAACATAAAGACTATACAGAGGGTGGAGAGGTGAATATCTTTTCACATAGCTGATTTTCTTTTGCAGCAGCAGGTGTTAATCTTTTTTATAAATTAAAAAACCCCAAACTTCAGTTACCCGTTCCTCCTAGGCATGCCACGTTTGATGTGTAGAGATTCGTGCAAGGTTCCTGTGTTTTTTGTTCTTCTCCAAGCATTTAAGGTGTGAAATATATTAATGTATCTACTCAGCTGTACTTACCTCAGGATTTTAAAGGTTTAGGTCTCTAAACATAAAAGTCAATGGTGTAATTCTCCTGTTGAATTTGAATCCAAAGCTGCTGTGTCAAATAAAGCACCAAGGATAAGTGACATGGAGTGGTGATAGTGTAAGCTTGACTCAATCAGTTGAGTCCAGTAGAAATTACCTGTAAAATATTTTAGCTCATGCATCTGTGCTGTGCATCTTCGTAACAGAAGTTTCAACGCCTTTTTAGTGGTTCTAAACATCAGGCTCCAATTTGACTAAAATTGCCTTATTTTGAAAGTTTTTGGCTTTACAGTGCTCTCCACTCAAATAAAAATTTGGAAAAAAATCTCCACGTTACAGGCAGAACAACTTGGGGTTTTCATCTTTCAGCTCCAGAGTTTCTTGGATGGAAGGCTTCACTGGGACATGTTTCTATGTAACATAATGCAACCCGTGGTCTTTGTCGCATAAATGATACTGTGCTGAGAACAGCCCTCTTGCTGAAAGCCGTGCGGAACGTGTGTTAGCTTGCTATGCAAAATTTTTTCTTTTTTTTTTTGGTACCCTAGCTATGGTACTACTTAATAAAGTAGTAGTAGTACTATCTAACTATTGTTAGGTGAAACGTAGGCAACTTAACAAATGCAGAAGACTGTACGCTCTAATCTTCCTCATGAAGTGTGCACGTTCTGACATACCCTATTTTTTAGATCTGTTTCTATGACATTGTAGCTTATTTGTAGAAAAATTTCTAATAATCTTTGTCAGAAATCCTCCTGCCCTCTTAGCTGTTTCTTTAACTTGCAGCTTGTTGCTAACAGAAAAAGAGAAGACTTGCAAAAAGCCCTGTTTCTTAACTGGGAATGTTTTGGTCAAGGGCAGGGGGAAGGGAAGGCATGAGGCAATCAGAAGTGAGTTATTTTGAAAATGGTGTAAACGTGAATGAGGTGATAGCTACTGGGAGACAGTTAAAACTCTGAGATTTAAGCTTCATTCTTTTTCAGAACAACTTAGTTGGCATTGTAGTCTTAACCTTTGTCACAAGATGTTGTCTGTCTTGCTGTATTGACCTAGAGCTGCGGTCTTGCTAGCCAGACCTCCTCGGATCGGCGGGTAGGAAGCAGCGATCTGGGTATGTGACGTTCTAAGCAGTAACCTGACAATCTTTTGCTGGATCTCAGACAGGGTTATCTGTTCGCTTCTGAGCAACTGTGCTGCCCTCAATCTAGGTAGCAAATCCTGAGGAAAACTTTCATTTTAGGTATGCTTAACCTAGGTGTTAATATATGTTTTCATCCTATTTGTTTGAGCAATTAGAAAGCTTTTGACAGAAGATGTAGTGGGTTTCTACTATGTTATGCTATTAATATCTCATTTGTCAAAATAATGTCACTTTTTTTTTCCTCTGAAGATCTCTAAATCTACTGAACACTTCTACAGACGTAGTTTTGCTAGTTGGAAATGGAGTTTCACATTCCATTCTGTAATGCTTATACTTTAGCTTTTTCAACAGGAAAAAGGGTGTCTGTTCAGCTATATAGATTAGCCCGGCAGTTCTTCAGAATTGGTGGAAGTTCAGACTGTGTTTCTAGCAGTTAGCTACTTTGGGTAGGGAAGCAATAATCAGCCAGCTGGGCCAGAACCTGGAAAAGAATGGATGAATGTTACAAGTTGTATGATAAAGGAAACAAAGTTATCCTAACTTTATCCTAGAGACCAAGGATTCAGTTTCAAAAAGAGCCCCAGACTTTTACTTTCGGGTTATGTAAGTCACTGAATGTTATTACAAATTGTAAGAATTGCATCCTAAACTTGCTAACCCAATTGTGTCAGGGAAGTTTTACAGTTTGAGAAGACATGTTTTCAAATGAGGGAAGAAAAACTTGCATTGAGATTTGGCAAGACAGAATTTTTCAGGGTAAGATTATAGAGTTTGGAGAAATGGAAGAATTCGAGGTGCAAAGTGTTCAGTGTACCAATCTTGAACACTGCTAAAGCATGTGGAAGATAAAGACTAAGTTGTTTGTAAGATTTGACTGTAGAAAGATTTTTTTTTTTCTTTATCAATATATTGATTTACTTAAATTCTTCCCTTCAATCTTTTCCTACTGTTGCCCTTCTCCTGAGCCTCAGACCATTCATCTCTGAAGGATTAGCTGGAACATAAACCAGTTAGAAACTCTGCTGGGGATGAGATGTCAGTTGCAGAATATTAGAGGCTATCAAGGCTAGTGTCCTCTGTTGAATGAAAATATTACAGCCCCATTAATTAGAGCTTACTAATGAAAATATTACAGCCCCATTAATTAGAGCTTACTAAGACCCTTGTTATTTTGTAGTAATTGTTCTGAATACCCATTTAGATTAATTGAACCCCTGTATTTAATTTAGTCTGTGTATTCATGGGATTCGCCTGGGTTAAGGAGTGCCAGGATAAATACCCAGACGCTGACCTTGGCAGAAGTCTGGGAACAATAACTTCTTGCAGAAATGGGTAATGTCCTTAACCAGCATAGCTATTTTGGTAGTGAGTTTCAATCTCTAGCTTAAAGTGATTGAATTATTGAAGTGAGCATCCTAGACTTGGTGTAAATTGGCAAGTGTATAAATGCCTTTCCTGTTTCAGAAACATCATGTGGTATCAGAGGACTGTATTTCAGTGCATGCTGTCTTCTTGTTGTTATCCACACTTTGTACTGAGTTGATCTAATAAGTATAGGTGAACTTCAAATATTTTTGTTTTTTCTGACGAGAGTGCTTAATGCTGTCCTGGTGGTACTGACAATGCAGAAGTGCACCTGAAGTTTAAATGTAGTGCATATTATATTGTCTTCCTTCTGCACACATAGCTGCCATAACTGTTATTAAGTAGTTTTGAAAAGGAGTTGTTGCACCTGGAGTAGCTAACTGTAATTGGAGGCTGCTGGGAACACAAAAGAACAGGATTTTTTGCAAGATATGTAAAAAAGGAGTGGTTAAGCGCGATGAATTGCAGCAAAACCAACTCAATTGCACTTTTAGCACAGACTAATAAAGAAGTGTATTACAGACAGTGATTCTTAAGATGGCAGCATGTACAGTGGAAACTTCTCTACTGTTTCTCTTTCACCCTTGGAGAGCAGTGCCCACCAGCATTTGAAATGGCTGTCAGTTGAATTTAAGGTGAAGTCTCCTAAGTAAAAAGGAGTTCAGACTGAAGTTTTAAAGAAAGAGAGGGGGATTCAAAGCGAAGATAATTCTGTCCACTGGTCTTTACGTGTCTTCATTTTGAACTGATAAGGACTTTTCATAATAGGATTATTGGAAGTATCTCTTCCAAGTGAAAATATTTCCTTAAAAATTAATTTTTTACTTCTCTGAATAAGTCTTTTCTGAATAAATCTTCTTTGGAAGGATATGTTCTCCTTTGTAGTATGGACCTAGATGTTCTTAACTTTCCATTTGTCTGTATTAACAGTACGTCTTTGGTGTTAAACCTCTCCGTCTCTTCCTTGCGCTGAGATGGAGCTGTTAATACCCTTTATCAGGTCATATTTCAGCTGATGTGATAACGAATCCGGATTCCCACCCCTGCTCCCGCTCTCCCCCACCCATAGGCATACCACTTTCGGCAGCATGTCTCAGCTTGTGTTTTGATCCTTCTCTCCTTCTGTTCCTCCTAGATAAGTTTTTTCCTATTTACCTCATCAGTTTTTTAGATGTGGCAGATGGGCTGATGTTCAGAAGGTGTGGATGATAATGTAACTATATTGTGGGCTAAAAGGCAGCGAAGATTCCTTAACTGGTGGTAGTTCAAAGCGAGAGACTTGCAGTACTGCTGTTAACTTTTCCTTAATTTAGAAGATCTTATTGAGTACTTCCACAAGGTTTTGCGCTTACTATAGTGGAAACTTGTTCCAGTTTGGTCTGTTGGCAATGTTCTTGTTCAGTTTGTGGTGAAATCAGTTGGAAGTGAGAGAAGCCAACCCTGAACCTCCGAAGTCCAATCTAACTCTGAAGTTAGCACATCTTTGGACAAGGGCTGGGTTAGATGGCTGGCACATGTCTTGATCTTAAGAAATGGGTGGCTTGCATCCCTTTTGCAAGCTTAGATGCCACTGGAAGGCAAATTGATGGTACCTTGCAGTACAACCTTGCAGTTGAAATGTCAAATAACTGCTTTAAATAAAAAGGCATAAAAGCAAATGCAATTAAATAATTTAAAATATTTTTAAAAAATTAGTCATAATTTACAGAGTGGAAAATTGGATAGTCTTTCTAATAAAGACCTGTTCTTCTAGGCATATAACTTTAAGGGACCGATGGTCCTTATTTAAATAGCATGTAATTGCTGCTTAAGTAAGCTTTTTGACAGTGTTTCTATACTAATAAACTTTTTTAACTCTTTGCAGGTGTGTACAAAGTAATATTGTGTTGCTTACTCAAGCTTTCAGGAGGAAGTTTGTCATTCCAGATTTTATGTCGTTTACTTCGCATATTGATGAGTTATACGAAAGTGCTAAAAAACAATCTGGAGGAAAGGTAACCTGCCTGTAAATGCAACTTTAGACTTAAAGATTTCTTGATATTAACCAAATACATTCTTTGTTAAGAAATCAGACAGATTTTTCTTAACGTTTTCAGCAAAATGTTAAATTGGTAACATGATAAAATAGTTTTGGAAGTTCAGTTATGTCTGCAGCTTGTGAACTATTTTCGAAATACAGCTCCTTACCTCTAAGAATCTTTTACAGTTTTGAGGTTAGAACGAGAAAATAATGTTGTTTGTTCTTTATTTTACATAAACTATAAAAATGCTATATAATTTGTAAGGCTAAACTTAGTCTTAAAAGAATTGCACTACTCTACACAACTGCCTGTGTTGTTTGACAGAAATAATTGTCAATACCATACCTACGTTAGTAATTAAAGTTTATTCTAGTGCTTATTTTTAATAAATTGAAGAACTCACTCCAAACTTTGTTACAAGCTAAAATTTTGTACGATACGGAAAGGCTAAACATGCGTTAACATATACCAGAGATTCTTCTTGGAATGTGCTGAAGTTTGTACTTAAAAAAAAATGTTTTGCTTGATAATAATCTAGTGAATATAACAATTTGTAATAAAGTTTTAGATAAACTAGGTGATTAGTGGAATAATTCACTTATACCTTGTGTATCCTTTCCATTGGCATTTATTCTAATTAATATAAATTGACATATAGTGAAATATTTTGGATGTTGTAATGTCTCTGGTTTTATTTCACGTTGTGATAGGTTGCTGACTATATTCCTCAACTGGCCAAGTTCAGCCCTGATTTGTGGGGTGTGTCACTTTGCACAGTGGATGGACAGAGGTATGTTCTAACTTCTAGATTTTGCTCTTTCAGTTATTTAAACTCTCTGACACATACAGCACTTCATAATATTTCTTAATAAAGAAAAAGCTTTACTGGAGTTTAAGAAGTAAAAGCCACTTGGTCATCTTTCTTAATGTTTTTTTCAACTACTCTGCTTAAGCTGCATTATTTTGCTGTTTTTATAAAACATTATTTAAATAGTATTTGTAAATACTATATTGAAGGATGGATTATATTGTGCTTATGATCCAAACACAATAATGAAGCTGTGGGTGATTGTAGTGATTGCCAAAGGACAAGATAGAGACAATGCTTATGTAGTATTAATCTTTGGAAGTTGAAGAGCTTTGTCTGATAGTACCCATGTCTTCAGCTATATTATTTTTTCTGTAGGTCACGATATTCTTAAAAGTTAGTTCCTTTTCTGCATTTTAATATTCTTATTGTAGCATTATTATATGATCACTGTACATTAGATCTATATTCTTTAAAAAGAAAACGAAGACGTGGAAACTTCACAGAACTTAATGTGATTTTTGCCTTTCAGGTTTATTAAACTTCCTCCTGTAAGCGTGTATATAGGTCTTAGGTATAGCTAGAGTGATTTCATTTTTATTTTTTCTTGAACAGTGACTCAGTTTAGCAGAGAGAGTTATGAGCCCAAAGGTTAAGAGAGTATCTCACACCATCTAACTGAGAAGTAAGGTAAAATATTCTGCGTCCACCTTTGTGACTGGACAATATGAGACACTCACCAGCTTGCGTGACACTGCTGCCCTGCAGTTTGATATGGTCATACTGCATGTTCTGAGTACCGTAATTCTTAGGTGTTTAGTGTGACCCTAGTGAATGGAGTGTTCTTGAGAGAGCATCAGACTTGCTTGTAGTGACTATGGATTTGGGTTCATTTTAATGTGACCTGTTACGATCTGTATATTTCTTATTAGCCATATGCTCTATAATCTCTAGGGGAAGAGCTGTACAAGTGAATTGTATTTATCAGCTCTCTGCTTAAGTGTCTGAATTACAATCTATTCATAGTAAAACAGCTTTAAGAGTAAAAATGTTCTCCTTTTTGAACACTTTAAATTAGCATTTTACTTTGTTTTGTATGTTACAACATGCACTAATGAAAGTATTTATAGTGCTAATTTTTTTAACGTTTAATGTTAGTTTTTATAAAGCCAAAATGGTTTTGTGAGTTTCGTTGAAACCTTCTCACATTTTCTGCAAAGAAAAGCAAATACGCTTCTGATTTTGCCATCAGACAAGTGGTTGCTTGGAGCCTTTTGCTCTAGATGAGGCATATGCTGCTTGTAGGAGTCATTCGTCGATGCAGTCTGACTTAGATGTTGAAAGTAAACTTTCCGAAAGATAGCATTTCATAATTGTAATAAAATACCTACACCATTATCAAAGGACATGTAAATACAGCTATTTAATTATTGCTCTTGAATTCCAAAACTCATTTGGATTTCGTCTTTGTTTATGTAGACATAAATATGTAGAGTGGCTGTAGGTCAGCCGTACTCTGAGTATGTGATTTGTGGTGAAGTAGGGCAAGTGTGATACTAGAGCTCCATGGTGATTTTTTTTTTTTTCCCCCCTCTGGTACAAACTCATTTCTCAACTTGTGTTTATCTTGTTAAGTCTGAAGTAATCACCAGCGAGTGACTTTGTTATACATAGCTTATGGAGGCAATTGTTAAAACTTTTAAATATTTTTGTTCTGCTCTTTAAAGTGAGACTGAAAAATAATATGTGTTTGTGTTTTTGTTGACAGTCCTCATATGTTGAAGAATAGATGAAGCATTTAACGCTTTATTTGCCACAGGTGGAAAATGGGCAATTTCAAACCTCTTCATCTGTGTTTTTCCCAGGCATTCTGTTGGCGACACCAAAGTTCCGTTTTGTCTTCAGTCCTGTGTAAAGCCTTTGAAATACGCTATTGCTGTTAATGATCTTGGCACAGAGTACGTGCACAGATATGTGGGTAAAGAGCCTAGTGGATTAAGATTCAACAAATTGTTCCTGAATGAAGATGGTAAGAGAGACGCAATACTTAATAACGCAAATACTCAATTTTAGAAAATTATAAAACAAGCTACACAGTTTTTTTCAACCTTTTCATTTTACTGTATCGTCTTATTATTAGATAGTGTCCCAAAATATTTTGCCATCAGCAAGGTGTGCTTATCCATTGTCACTCGCTTTTGCCTAATTGAGAATGCTAGTAAAAGATGCTTTATTCTGTTTTATTTGCTAGTATCCAGATGTAGGAAAAAGAATTTTGATAATGCAGGTATTTGAAATGTGTATTTATTTAGTTGAGTTGGTAGCAAGCGTTCCTTAATCGTACCTTCTGTAAAATGGTGGTGAAAGAAGGATGTTAAATGGATTTTTAAGAAACATATATATCAGTTCCCTTCTCATCCCTCTGAGAAGCTGGTGCTGGTGCCAAAGGCCAGTGCTGGCTAGTTTCCAGAAGAGGAAATAGAACACATCTTCCCACAGATTGTTCTAAACTGAACTTGGCTACTGATTCAAAACAATGTTTTTATTTTACTTTTTTTTTTTCCTGTGGCAGGAGTGCTTTAGCAAGAATTTCTCATACAGTACTTATCTAGATTATTTCTTTTTCGTGTTATGTTAATTCTTAGGCATGAAAATGTTATTTATAAAAACATTCTGGAAAAAATCTGAGAAGGATGACTCATTCGGCCTTAGAGGAAATACTGGATGTTATCTCTGAAACACAAATGTTTCTTCTAGCGGATCTTTCTCAGTAAGAGAACAGACAATGTTTCTGTTGCCATGGTATTGCAATTAATATTTAATTAACAGCGTAAAACTTGGATGATATTTTTGTCAAGGACTGTATTGAATTCTGACTTAAATATCTGTATAATTGATATGTAAATGTTACATAAACCTACTTAGTACACACCTTAAAGTCATCCTTCTAAACTTAAAAATAAAATAGATCTTGATAATTTATTTCTTCTTTTTTATTGGGTTAGTAAGTGGTAATGAAATACCAACATGCGTGTGTATCACCAAGAAGAAATTAAGCATTTTGTCAAGCTTTGCTCTGTTGTTTTTGCCTTCTTTTGCTTTTGTTTTTCCAAATACCATGTTGTACAGTGTGAAGAAGACTGCCTTTCATGTCCTAAGAAAGCTTTCATATAAAAAAAGTTTTGATGGTGCTGAAAATTGCCTGTATTTTCCTTTGGATCAATATAGGTGTTCTGTCTTTTTAATGAAATAACAGAATGTATAGTAGTTATTTTCTTCTTTTTGTTGCTACTTTTAAAATTGAACTGTGAGAGAAGATGAATTGCTAGGCTATGGTCTTTTATTGTATTACTGTTAGACTTTGAGTGTTTATAAGACTGTTATGCAATAGAAGAATTGGGATTATTGAAAATTTGACCAGTGTGCATTACATTAATAAAGAGAACTAATTCACATGATAGAAATGCTAATTTTGAAGTATGTGCTTGTGTGCCTGATATAAATAACATGAGAAAAATATGTTAGTACTAACCTGAACAGCCTTTTATCTATACAGTCCTTAAACAAAAGCCTAAACCAGAAGGTCTAATAAATAGCAACGTTTCAGTTAGAGAAAGGGAAGTTGAGTTTCTGTGAGTGGAGGAGGAAAGAAGGGATTACAAACTTTACTTGTCGTTTTAAATTGATGTATGAATCTTGAATATGCAGAGTATCTGGCGGTTTGAACATACTTAACTACTTTGAAGATCAGATTTGAAAATAATTATATATATAATATAGATATTTAATCTATTTGCTTTCTAATTATTCTGATAGCGTTGAATTTCATGTTTGTAATCAGGATTTTATGCAGTGCTATGCGGGTATTTGAAAACTGGCTAGACATGCATCTGAAGGTATTTTTTTATGGTTAATACATTAAAGAAACCTAAAACAGGGTGTTCTTTCATTTTTTTGTTTATTAGTATTGGGATTCAAGCTGGAAAGAATGGAGAATATTGCAAGACAATTTAAAATCATAGCTAAAAATGCCAACTTATTTAAAAAAATAGTGTTACTAAGACTCATGTACATTTTAAGATCTGTGCTGTGGAATGGAAATGTGGAAACTTCTGCAGCCTTGTGAATATTCAATTTTAAAACATTTTTTTATCAAAGGGAGCATAGGGCCCATCAAACAATTCAGGTGTCTGGAGGACTAAAGCAACTCCCATGTTAATTAAAAAACGATTATTCTAGTTGATTGAAGTAGATCTAGAATTTTACATAGTAAAATCTGTCTGAAATAGGCATCATCAGGAATAATTTTTATGGTCATCAAGCAGTTTGCAGGTTTTTTCATGCCTGTTGAGTTCATAATGCAGCATGTCTGACAATACTCATATATATGTACAGTTAGTATCTCTTACCTTCTCTTGGTGTTAATTATTTGTAGAATTAGTCCAGTAATATAATTGTTTGTAGAATGTAGTCCACTAATGAATATTGCGTTGTAATTGAATGAATGATTGCCAGGAAATTTTTTTTTCTGCTGAAGGATTTTGTTAACCAAAGATGGAGTTCTTTCTTTTAAGTTTTTGTCTTGGACAAACACATTTTGATGTCATTTCAGAAAAAAATTGTCACGAAGAACTCTTCTGTGCGTTAAAATGCCTGTACTGTGTATGTGTGGCACCCTCTGCTTTCTGTGCTCACAGACTGCCAGCCAGTCGGACAAGAAGGGTGTAAGGCCCATGATCGACAAAAAGGGTCAGAGGATACAACCTCAAACAGAGGATAACTCTTCCCCCTTCTCCACATAGTAGGCCTTCAAGCAGCCACCAACTAAGAGTGCGTCAAAGCTCTACTCCAAAAAATTTAAAAACTTGGAAAAGCAGAGGAAAAGCACTGTAATTTGAGCTTATTAGGGAAAAAGGTCTGGTTCGCTTATGGCATAATTGCCTGGCAGGTTGCTAGAGCAATCGTGCTAATTGTCAAGCAGTGTTGAGGCATTGAAAAAATACATGTTTTTTCACCATTCCATAGTGATGTCCAGTGGAGCGATTTTTAGGTAACTAAATACTTATTTTAAAACTTTTTTTTTTAATTTAGTAGTGAATTTATTAGTGAATTTTTATTTTGTGGTGAGGCTGCACCTCAAGTACTGTCTTCGGTCTTGGGCCACTCGCTACAAGAATGACATTGAGGTGCTGGAGTGTGTCCAAAGAAGAGCAACAAAGCTGGTGAAGGGTCTGGAGCATAAGCGTTAGGAGGAGCAGCTGAGGGAACAGGGTTGTTTAGCCCAGAGAAAAGGAGATTCAAGGCAGATCTTATCACTCTCTGCAACTACCTGGAAGGAGTCTCCTGAGCAACAAGCATTAGGACAAGAGGAAATGGCCTCAAGTTGTGCCAGGGGAGGTTTAGATTGGATGTTAGGAAAAATTTCTCCACCAAAAGGGTTGTCAAGCATTGGAACAGGCTGCCCAGGGAAGTGATTGAGTCGCTGGCCCTGGAGATGTTTAAAAGACATGTAGATGTGGTGCTCAGGGACATGGTTTAGTGGTGGACTTGGCAGTGTGAGGTTAACGGTTGGACTACATGATCTTCAAGGTCTTTCCAACCTAAACGATTCTACGATTCTAGATACACCTTTTAAATATATTGCAGTTCTGTATGTAAAAGGCTGTTCTAGGCAAGTATCTCCTTCCCATGGGAAAAACAGTGCTGCATCGGAGAAGAACATATTTACTATTCAGAGGCTGTTAGGTGGGTTGTTTGTGCAAAAGACAAATGGTTGAATCAGTGCTAGACTTAAGCAGGGCACTCTAGTTGAAGTTGAAGGGTTATTATGACTTATGCTTTTCATTAAGGATAAAAACATGAATTTACTCCAAAATATAATGAGATGATGCAGCAATATAAGAGACTTGCAGAGAAGCTGTGTGAAATATTTTTTTTTTCAGTCTGAGCATGTCATTGCCTTTAATACTTGATTATATAGAATATATTTCTAGAGTCTCTTTGTGTGTTTTTGTTTTTAGTGATGTGTGTCAGTTAGCTTTGCAGAGTTTGGTAACAAAGTAATAGCAAATAAAAATAAGAATTCAAACCTGACATGATATTAATGTTATCGATATTGATTGAGGTTTTCAGACACCAGAACACATAAAAATCAAATCCTAGTTAGAAGGCACAGCAAAAACGTTAGTTAAAAAAAAACAGCTGTAGGAGGTAGATGTTGATGAACAAAAACTTGTATTTGGAAAAAAGTAGACAGCCGAGTAGACAATTCTGGAAAAAGAAGAAAAAAAAAAAGTGATTCATTCACATGAGCAGCCAAAAATGACTGGGAATGCAAAAATACTGCTAATATGGAGATCAGTGATAAAAAGAAAAACTTAAGTGTAGCAAATATATGCAAGTCAATTATAAAGTTAAATTATAGTGAGGGTGAGTAAATTGTTACTTGTGTTTCAGAGCTGCCAACAGAAACCTCTGATTCTCAAAAAGAATGAAGGTTTTGTACTTATATACAGCAGTAAGGATAGTCAAGAACTGGAGTTCTTTTTTTAAAGGACCTGTTTGGACACTTGTAAGGTCACTGAGACTTGGTATCTTGGAGAAAAATTGGAAAGTTCCTTAGGGGTTGTTCCATTTGCAGATGTTCATCGATCAAATCTTGGAATTCTGAAGAAGATTCAAAATTTTCAAAAAAAGAAATTATGCCAGACTGATTAATTTACTGGACTGTTAAGCAACATTAGACTGAGTGTGTTCTAATCTGTAAAATACTTCTTTCAGAATTACAAAAAATTGTGTATAATGTTGGATTACATTGGTTTTGATTTAGGATTATATTCCACAATCATAGCTTCAAGTCATCCATTAATATTTATCATTTTTCACTTAAACACTTGACTGGTTTTGTTTGACAAATGTGTCTTGGGATATGTTTGTAATTGAGAACTTTATTTCACAGACAGGCCTCATAACCCTATGGTGAATGCTGGAGCAATTGTGATCACGTCTTTAATCAAGGTAAAAAGTTCACTTTTAGTTCCTCTCAGAATATTTTTAATAGAATGTAGAAAAAGTATCTTGTACGGATTATGAACTGTTTTCATTTTCTGTGTGCAGTATCTGATGGCAGCTTACTCGTTAACAGATAGACAAGCTCTGATGTTTTGGAAATAGTAACACTTCCAAACAAATGCAATATTAGACTAGCAGTTTTTAAAAAATAACAGTGCAGCTGAAAGTCTTTGTTTTTTCTTTTGTGTTTTTACTCTTATTTCATTTCCTTCTGTAACTGCACAACACTTGATGTTCTCTTGAGAGAATTGCCTGAGAGACATACTTGTTAAACACTTAGAGTATGTCCTTAGGAATTTACTCTACAGCATTCAGAACTAGGTTTCTGAATGCCTAATGCTTTTATATAGCATAAAGTTACAAGAGTATTTTTTTCTGTGCAGAAGAAATGGCAGATGCTGTCTTTTGTACAGGAGCAATGCAGCTGTATTCGCACGTCAGTCTTAATGAATTTGTCTGCTATTAACATGCTGTAAAACTAAATTATGTTTAACTTCTATGTTACGTAGTTTCTGTTGGGGTGTTAAATGTGCTTCATTAAGTTAAGCGTGTTTGGAAACAGTTACCAGTATTCTGCTGAGTAAACCATAGATGAATAATGACATCTTTAGTCCATGATCTTGCGACTTTTGGAAAGCTGTATTTTGTTTTTTCTTAGAATAGCCGTCTGTGTCTCTTGAAGTGTTGTTAATGACGTAAAATCCATGTAATGCTAATGTTTGCCAGGTACTTTAATTGTATTTTCTGCCTTTTTTCGGTAGCCACTGGTACAAACACCTATTATTTTCTTTTTTTAAGGATACCTGCTTAGAATGTCAGTCCCCTGGAGTTTTGAAGTAGAAAACTTAATACTGTTACTTCAGAGGTCTAAAAATCATGTTTACAGCCTTTGTCTTGGTTATGTTTCAAAGTCCACTAGCTACAGTGTGTTTCCTACCTCCTATTTCCAAATTGTTGATTTAAAAATTACTTAGATCATGACTTTCTGTTATTTTATATTTAAAGAAGGTGTAAGAACTCCTGCTTAAAGACATTTATCTTTAATAGCTGTAGGTGAAAGAAAATGGCCTTAAGTATGACAGGTAAATTTATTCACATTTAATATTTTTTAAAGGTTGACTGAGCATTGAAATTCACTTGAATAATAGTGAATTTGAAAATCTGACATAACACATTTGTCTGAAATGTCAACATGTTAGTCCTACTACAACATGCCGTACTTGTCATAAGGCAAAACACAAGCATGTGCCTCTTGCAGAAGGCACATAGTTCTTGATAAATGGTGTACTTCTAAATAGATAACATGGATTTCTTTACTGCATGCAATTGTGATATTTGTTAGAAGGTTGGGGGATTGTTTTTGCTGGGTGTTTTTTTTATTTTTATTTGGTTTTATTTCTGTCATGCTCTCATCAAGAGTATTGCATTGCACTGACTCTTTTGCATGTGGTAACTGCACGTCTAGTGGGCGCGTATTGTACTTATCACACTCCATTATTTGTTTTCAGTGTGATTAAAACGTAGATTATTTTATGTACTGCTTCCACTAAGATACCATTTATCATTTGACTAACTAACCAAACAAAACATATTCTGAAGAAAATTGCATAGAGGGTCACAGGGACAAAGTTACGTAATAGTTGTATTTTTTCTGACATAACTTCTTTACAATCTGCAACTTAACAGTATTCCTACTAACTATTTAGTGATTTAAGTAATTAACATTTATAGTTGATGTAATCTAAGACTTACTTTTTTCTGGAAAAGGTGGCTTCATTAACCCGTACTTGCCCTCAGTTCCTCTGCATTCATTCTGTTTATTTAAGGTGTTACTTGCATATCTTGAAGACGGTGTATGGCTCCTTGAGTCCAAGGAAATTGAGATTACTAAATGTGGTCAAAGTCACCATGTATGACAGATTTATCTAATGATAGCATGTTGATGGCTATGGAGAGATGGTTGCTACGTTTAATGGTTGGACTCAATCTTGAAGGTCTCTTCCAACCAGACGATTCTATGATTTCAGTGTTAAGAATGCTTGTACCTCTTTTTGGTATTCATTATTTTATCTTTTTCTGATAAATTGATACAAGTCTTTCAAAATTTACATACGTTGTACTGAATTTAGCAGCTGTTAGTATGTGTGATCTTGCACACAACTGCCCCTAGAATCTGGCATAAATTATGATTCCTCGTGGACTAGTGATGACGTTTGGAGTAATCATTTTGTCAGAATATGTAGTACGTTAACATTTTAGGGGAAAGAAGTGTTCTTAGCAACACCTACCCAGTCCCAACTGCCTTAAGAATTTGGTACAGGCACCTTGGAACAAAGCATGGACCTAAACCGTAATGTTATGTTTAGTCCTTGCTATTCATAACAAAGCGTATGTGCATGTGAAGTTGAACATCTATTTGGCTTACTTAGGCATGACTATATCATACTTTTACCAGCTTAAATGATTCTCCCGCTGTCATGTGTGTGGAATTAAGATGTATTTATGTTTTGGTGCCTTAACTCACAGCTTTGTTCTAACTGTACTTGCATCACGCTCCACAGACTGTTCTAGCAATTTAAAGCATGTGTATACAATAAAAATGCTTTAGCAGAAATACCTCATGTGGGCCAGTTTTAAAGAAATACAATTTTCGAAAATCCCTAAGGACCTTTTCCCTTTTTATAGTTGTACAGCTATTTGCCTTTATTACTAGTTACATAAATTACATAGTTATAACAACTTCCCAATAATTATTGTCAAAATTGTAGCAGCAATTACAGGAGTTTGTGGAAAAGTGGTGTTAGATAAAATGGTAGATTCTTCCATGTCTCCAAGGAAATACAGGTGCTTGAAAGAAGATACAGGTTTAGTACAGATTCAGTGCTCTGTAACCACACAGCTTTCTGTACATCACGTTGACTGGGAAAAGTCTTCATTGCCTGTAGTAAGGATAGATGTTAATGCTGGTGGTGGTTTTAGTTGTTTTTTTTTTTTTAATCCTTAAACTCAATTCTCAAAGTGTATCAACTGCAGGAATATCAGTAGTTGTGTCAGCAGTCGCCCACTTCCCCGTATCTTTACGTGGGGAAGGTCATGCGTTAGAGGTGCAAACGAGATGAAGAGGAAGGGTCCAGTGCAAATGAGATGAAGAATGATCCAGAGAAATGTGTAGAAGGCAGCAGATAGCTGCAGAAGGAATCCCCAGAGGACAGGGGATTAATCTTCAGTCATTTTTATTGCATGCTTCAAGATTCCATCAGTAGGTAAAAGCTTTCCTAGTGTAACAACAAAGGTTTGAGCAAATACAGTGTATGTAAATCCTGTAAATGCTGACAACCACATGCACAATCTTACACAGATAGTGATGCCTGGTGAAGGGAGGTATTCCATGGTAATGAAATAACATGGGAAGCAATATTCATAGTCCTTGCAAAATATTTGGCGTATGAGCAAATGAAAATGCTGATCTTACTGACCCTGAAAAAACTGAATTAATGAAAGCTTTTCTTTTTGTAGAAAACATAAAGAAGTGTATCCAATATACTTCAGAGCATTCTAAATATGATGATAAGTCATAAAATAAATGAGGCAGAGTGCTGGAAAATCCCGTCCAGCTGTGCCAAGGATCTGTTTGCTGTCAGGATACAGTTATTAGGAAACCTAGAGAGTTATGGTCCAATACTTGAAGAGTGGGGAAATGCATGGCATATTTGACACTATAGTTACAATAAACAGTACAGATTTAGCCTAATTGCTCTATCCGCCCCACTCCATTTATCTTTCCTGATAGACTGATTTGTAAATGTACATACATACCGCTTGAAAACATGTGTTGGCGTTGTGATCTTCTCTGCCAGATACTTGTCTTTATTTTGGTGAAGTTCCTTTCTTCCTGGGTTATTAATCTTATAGTAACTAATTTTGATTAGAATGTACGTTCACATTATTCTGCGCTTGCTTTTTATTATAACTCAAATGTATTGGATATTATTTGACATAGAATATGTAGTAGTGATACTTGAAATGACATGTATTCAGTGGTCACCCATGCAAGTATTTAATACCTGAAGGACACACGAATAATTCTTGCGTGTATTTGAAATACAAATAGTATTGATCTCAGTGGATCAAATACTGTCTGTGACAGTGTGCTCTCAAGTATTTCAGAGCTGAAAATGGCACGCTAAGTGTTCTCACAGAACAGGCCCAGATTAACAAATGCAATTAAAACGTGTAAGTACAGAAAACTAAAATAAAGACATTAATAGTTAAGTTAATGTAAAATGCACAAATGTCAAAAATGTTTTCTTGCACTCTGATGTAGTGTTACCTTTTGGTTTTGTTTTTTTTTTTTCTGGATGTTTTCATCACAGTATAGTGTTAAGTTATAAACTTGGCTTAAAAAAATGCCAGAAATTAATTTTTAAATAATCTTCTTTTATTAGAAGATTATAAACTTCTCATGATCCAGTTGTTTTTATTAGCTTGGCTTAGAGTCAAAATTGAAAAATTACTTTAACAAGAGACACATGGTAAGAGTTTATGAAGTCTAATTGTATAAACATTCCATTTTGATCAATGAAAAGTGGCTAATATTAACTACTTTTCTAATAAGTATTGCCTAATTTTGTTGTTGCAAGCTCTGGTAAGTATCCATGAGTCTCTCCTTTCCTATGTACATGTAGGCATGCAACTGCTTATAATTTTCTACTAGAAATACAAATAATAGAAGTACCTTGTTCTGTTTTTTTTTTTTTAAATTAAAAAAAAGGGAAGATCACTAAAACCCGACACAGTCAAAAAATTCAAATTTATGATTGACAGCCGTACTATCCATGTGGTTTTAAGTGTCTGTCTTCTACAAGTTTGAATTTTCTGCCTATCACACTGCTTCAATCCTAACTTTTTCAATTTCATTTTGTATTCATTTAGAAGTGTTTTTTCATATGTATATACACACAAGCATGTGTACAATAAGTGTGTATATGAACATATGTTCCAGTAAATGTACTACTAAGTGTTTGTGGAGTTAGTGCATGGAATGTTTCCTTTGATGTCCTAGACAGATGAATTGCATCTGAACTTAAATCAAAGTGCTTTTTAAGAAATACTGTCACAGTGCCCCCAACCTTGTAAGCTTATACAATCAAGCTAAAAATAAGAAGTACTTTGTGCAAGAATAGGCGTTTTCTTGTCTCTTGTATTTGTTTAAATTATTGTGGAAAAGTTGCTCAGTATTCCCAATGTTAGGATTTCATATTCGCAATTGGATTTTAATAATAGCATGTGTGTTACCTCTGTGTCTCTTCAGCTTTTTAGGGGGAGCAGCACACCTCTGTCAGCTCCTGAAAGAGGGAAACTAATGTGTTGGGTTTTTTAGCTGTCATCTTGTGTATGGAAGTGAAATTTTCTTAGTTATGTGTTATGTTAATCCGTACTGAGGTCTTGGTCATATGATTACTGAGGCAAATATTTTGGGTATATGAGTGCTCTAATTTCAGTAACAATGCTTTTGTGTTTGATGTCAAGTACCTATACAAGTGTGTGGAACATCAAGGACTAAAACTGCATCATCTGAATTAGTATACAGAAGATTTTCGTTCCAAAATATGAGATTAGATGTAAATTTTAAGAAGAAACCTTTTTTATAACAAGTCAATGTGGAAAAAGTTTGCATTGAGTCTTTTGCCCACCAATTTTATATGCTGCTAGTAAAGCCAGGTTTTTGTTGCAGGGCTAGGAATTTTTCTTTAACTGGGAAAAGAAAGTAAAGTGAAGTATTATGTATTTATATTTTTGCAGAAAGCATGATCCCTTTCTCCTTCTTTCTTTTTTTTAACACAAGAACTTGTTTCAATTTATTATACATGTCTAACCATACAATTATCAATGCAGCATCCCATAACTAATGCTGACCCACTTTCCCAGAAAAAAGATGTTCATTGTGCATTTGAAAGGTTGAAAAGGTTTTTGTGGTTTAAATGTTGTTACATATTTTACAGCATTAGGATCTATGGAATATTTTGACAACTGCAACAGTTCAATGAAGTTGGTAATTTCTTCTTTTAATTATTTTTCATTGAACAGATTTGGAGTTAAATTTTTAAGACTTGTGTTCTGGTATATTATACAGGAACATTTTGATGAAATGTATCGTGAATTTTTTTTTATTTTATTGCAGATTAGCTAGAGATTATTGCCTTTTAAGAGTAAGGTTATTAGCCTTTAAGCATAAGGTAACCACTGGTGCATAGTTTTGAGAAAACAGTGTGGTGTTCCTTTCAGCTAGTGATCGTACGTGTATGACTGCACATCCTCTTGTAGATGAGCTGATGCATGGGCTTCCAAGATTATCTGCAACACCCTAATCCACAGACAGAGTGGGAAATGAGACTGGCTTTACGCATGCCATTAAGTAAAATACTGGTTGATATAAAGCTTCAGGTTTTTTCCACTTCCTTCCCCATTCCCATGTGCAAGTGGTGTCTTGAGTTGTTTGAAATATGTTAAACAGAGTTTTGTTATCTAAATAGAGTATCTTTTAATACTAAAATTATTTCTAAAAACATCTTCTCCAGATACATTGTTTCCACTTGTATATGTGATGCCATTGTTTACTAAAGTTCCTCAAAAAAATTCTACTTGGCTACTTCAAAAAAAATTTAAAAACACCTCCCAGTAGACCATGCACTATTTTTTTATTTTTTTTTTACCTCCCACCCCTCTTTTAACGTCTTGCTGTAGGAATTTGTGAAAGGTCACCTGTCAGAGACCTGTAAAAAAATAATACATCTTTAACTGGCAGCTACTAAATTTGAGAATGTTCTTAAGTGAGGGGGATTGGGGGAGTGGGGAGAAAAGTGCCCCAAATAACACCCCTTGTCCTCCCTGTAAAGAAACCCAAACCAACCAACTCTAAGAATGAAATTTCACTAGCATGCTTATTAAGTTGGATTTAAATTTTTCCTTACATTGTTAGCACAATGATGTACTCTATGATGTGAAATTCTACTTTTCTAACTTCTAATTTTTAATAGATAGGACTTTAATCAGATATTAATTATATCAGATTTTTTTTTATTAAATGCAATTATTTTCATTGTAAGGGGTAACACTTTATTTTAAGTCTTTGATCTAAATTCTTAGTATGGGCGCTAGCCATGGAAATGTTTTAACTTCAGTATCCTGAACTTTCCTATGCTCAGCTCTGTTGGTAATGTAAGAATACCTTTGGGTTACTAATCTATAAAAAGTTCGTGTTTTCATTATAAATATCCTGATTGTAGTTAGTTTTGTGTTTTTTGCTTTAACTACTACATTCACTTACGCTAAACACATAAAGTTGAATAGAGAGCACTTAAAATAAAGCATACCTTTTTAAGTTTAAATTCATTTCCAACATGCAGGTGTTTGATAAGACTCTTATAGGATTATTTAATTTAAGTGATAATTAAATATTTACTTATCTAACACTTTAATTTTTTCATTAATATATGAAATGATTGTAGTACCTTATTCTTAATTAGTCTCATACCTTAGTTATATGCATTAAAAATCCTAATACTGTTAAGTGAACTAACTTCTTTCTTATGTTAACAATTTTTGTAAATTATTTTTTCTTTTCTTGCAGCAAGGAGCAAATAATGCAGAAAAATTTGACTACGTAAGTTCATGTTACAACACTCCTTTATTAACTAAATTCAGTGGTAAAAGTCTCAAGATGGCAAGAGAATTGCAAATGAAATTTTACTAATTTCAAACATTTTGCCTTTTTGTCTGTACTTGATTATTTAAACATTTAGTGATTTGGATTGCATTTGTAAAATTGTGCTACAAGATTTAGGGTAAGGCTGGATTGAAAGCTCATCAGTTAGAGCTTTTTAATGTCTGAAAATGTTAGCATGCTTTTCCCCCCTTCTTCTCTAACAGGTGATGCAGTTCATGAATAAAATGGCTGGTAATGAGTATGTTGGATTCAGTAACGCTACGTAAGTATTTTTTATTTACTTGCTGTTAAGTTAGGTGGGAAACACCTCAGGTGATAGCTGGCATAGTGAGCTTATGGCAATGTTTAGTTATGTACATTGAAACCATCATTTCATGCCTAATATTAGAGGGTGTTTTGGCTTAAAATTTATGAAGTTGTGCATGTTTCTGACATTGGTGTGGCTAAACTTCACGTAAAAGTGTTTGCTACCTCTTGGGAATGTCGTCATTCTGTCTCTGTGCTCTGTTGGTGCTACGGCAGTGAGGGCTGTAAGTGCACCGCTTATCTTCCTGGCATTCACATTAAAAATTACACTCTGCATGTTGATGACTGTGTATCAAATGTTTATTTAGAAAGCATCCTTTATAAAATTGGGACTCGTTATGCTTTTTTATTTTGCATATTTAAATTCTTCTCTAAAACAGTTCCCCCCATTAACTCAATGTATAGCATTCCAAAAATCTTGAGAGCTTTTTGAGGCAGCACTAGGAAAATCATGAAGATTCCGTATAGCAGAGTTGCTTCCAAGTTACTGGTTGGCATGCAGATGCAGGGAAGCAGAATGAGATCACTCATATTTTTCTTGGCCTTTGTTAACATAGAAGCATTTACCATGGAATGAACCAGACAAGTGAGAATTACCTACCCTTGTATCCATACAGATTCCTCCTTTAGGTTTCATCCTGGACTTAATCCTCATGATAAACAGTGCAGCCATCGGTCTGGTCGCTATTTGACCCGCAGCTTGATCCTCAAATTCCTCTCTGATTTGGTCAGCGTTGTCAGTGAATGACGCTTTTGCTACAGCTCCTTGTGGGATGTTTCCTTCCGCTATTCTCTTTTTAGAAGCTCTTCTCAGAGTAGGATCTTACACTTCTTTGCCTTTTCTTCAAGTCAGCTTATGTAGGTGTAGGTAACCAGTACTGTGTGTGTTCAGATGTCAAACCTAATTCACTCCAACTGGGTGTACTGGGGTGATCTTCTGTGGCAATTTCTGTTCCATTAGTACAGTGTTTGTATTCTGAAGTAACGTATCGTTTACGTGCAGCTTTATTGAAATACAATATGTGTCTCTGAAGTGTGGGGGTTTTTTGAGTTTGATTTGTTGACTTTTATTTTTTATTTTTATTTTAAGGTTCCAGTCTGAAAGAGAGAGTGGCGATAGAAACTTTGCAATCGGCTATTACTTGAAAGAAAAAAAGGTTGATCTCGTTTGTTTATTGTCTTTTGAAATCTGTGTGGTGGGTTTTTTTCATAGTCTGTGAAGATTTTTTTAATGTATTTAATGTACAATATGGCATAATAGTTCTAATGCTGTATGTGTTTTCATACTTTTACTCAAAATGCTGTCATTTAGTAAGTGTGATACTTACATCATTCTAATAGATTGCCTGTAATCTTTTTTCTGCATCATAGCCGTGGTAATTTTATTTGCTGTAAAAAGCATAATCTATGCTATGGAGATGACTTTTTAAAACTCCTAGATGCATGTTGCAGTTTGCTCATTTAAAGATGTTGAAAGCTGTACTGAAAAATATTAAAATATCTAGCTTATTGACCTCACTGCACTGTTATTTTGAATTCTGACATCATTTACTATTTCTACTTGTTACATTTAAATAAATATTTAGTTTTAAATCTGCCTAATATGCTGACAAGAATATAGCTTAATTTATGTCTCTCTAAAAGCAATATTTAAGGAAAAAAATAAAAATCATAGTTTTACCTAAAGGCTATCTTAATTTTTCTTCCTCAGTGCTTTCCTGAAGGCACGGATATGGTTGCAATACTAGACTTCTATTTTCAGGTAACTGACTTAAAAATTGAGACTCATTATAGACTTAGAATTACTATTAGAAGCAGTATAAACTGATTTGTTTGTAGATATGAAGGTTTTAATGGCTTATAGTTAAACTTGTCAGCTTCTGTTAAACTGTTTGGAAATGAATGATGTATGTTTGATGTATCCAGACTTGCTTTTGTTTAGGTGATATGCTTAAGTGTCTTTATTGATAATGCAAACTAGCAATAGTATTTAAAATACTAGTAGTTAAAAGCTGAAAATGTCTTGTGTTCTGTGAGTTTGACAAAATATTTCAGCAGCTTTGGGCTGCTGCTCTTTATTATACTGTGAAGTACTTTAAACTCCGTGTGTAACTGAAATAGTATATACATGCTCTATTGTAAGCGTAGTGTTATAAATGAAATAATACAAATATTTCCTCCTTTTTGTTTAATTCAGTGCTTATGAGTAAAACAAAGAATCTAGCCATATATGTTCTCCCTCCATTTTTTTTTTCTTTTTCACTTTCAGCAAGTTATTTGCAACTGCCCCAAAATGAGAACTTGGCAAGTGTGAAGTATTTCCTCAGTAAGGCTCTCGTAATGTTGAAACGTTCACAACTCAGTCAGCTCTGCAGCGCGTAGTTCTCGAGAGGCAGTTCACGTTGTGTTACTGAGTCAGTCAGTCTGGGATAGTTTTTGAAAAAAAATAAATTCCAGAGTTTAGTTCTCAAAATGAATCTGTTCTTGATTCATGAGACTTGCTCTTACTTATGCAAATTACAAACAATGTTTTTTAAAATGCAAATTTTATCTGAGTTTTTTGTATTGGCATGCACCTGCTCTAATCTTTAAATTGAATGAGTGTTTGTGGCGTATGGTATATGTGATTAGCCTTTGTTGACCTCCTGTTGAGTTGGAAACTAGGTACAAGCTAATACCTTATTCTGAACTTCCGTTGTTACAGAACAAAACCGATAATGTGGTTGTAGTTACTCTTTAAACATGCTTTTTAAATACTTCCTATCCCACTGCCTCCAGTCCTGATATGCTTCCGAGTGAAAAGCTATTCATAAGTTAAGAAATGCCAAAACTAACTTTTCTGATGGATTTTAATTTGGCCTCATTTTCATGCATTACGATCTCTAATTTCACAACTGCATGTCATTCTTTTTTTTTTTCCTTGCAAAATCCCCTTTTCACTCCCTACTGAGAGAAAGGATGGCTTGTACACGAGTGGCAATTCTGTTTTCTTTTCTTCTCACTGTACAACGCTTACTTTCCAACACCCTACTCCGATTCTACGTAAAAGGCTAGTTATTCCTTTTCTTTGGGTTTTCTGTAATGCTCCTTCCTCCCTTGTGTAATTAGGAACGTTCTGAACAGGAATAAACCTATTTTCCTATTGTTTCCGTAAAGCGAGAATGGATTATTCTCATTTTAGAGAACGGAGGGACAAAACGCAGGTGCTTAAACTGAGAACCTAGAAACACTTTTCTTTTTTCAAAGTAGGTGATATTATGTAATACTTCATATGTTTAAAACACAGTTGCTATTTTAGATGCGTCTCTGACAATCTCTTGATTTGCAACTCCAGTTGATTGGACTAGGATGTATTGAGTTTGGCACCCGGAAAATAAGAATTCCAGGTAGTAACTACTCATGGCTTAGGTAACTTCATGAAGTATCATGTAATGACTGTTTGGCAAAAGCAAGAATACAAGCAGTAGTTTGTTTACTTTTCAGAGTAGCATTTCAGCTTCAGGTTGAAACCAGCTTATCTTTTGGTTTCTGCAGAAATGAGGCAGCATCAGGTGATGGCATCATATCACATTTCCTGATGTGTCACCAAAGTATGTATAGTCTGTACTGAAGCAGGGATCCTGGGAGAAACTGTCATGTGGTCGTATCATTAATATATCAGAAAGCAAATGTGAGGGAAGGGTGAAATGAGGCTGCCTCCGCAGGGAGTGCTGGCGTTAAGACTTGCATGTGCCAGAGTTTGCAGCTTTAAGATGTACTTTTAATGGATGTGTGTGGTCTTCTAAGGCTGAAAAAAAAGCCACACAAAACAAAGTCAAATTGAAAAAAAAAACCCAGTCATTCTGTGGCTTTGCCCTTTAAGCAGATGCAAAATACTAAGACTGTTTACCACACCTCTTCCTCTCAAAGGAACGTTAAGGGGGGGCGGGGGGAGGAATCAAGTGGAGACACTAACCAGTGTAAATACTGTCCAAACTATTAAGAGGGCTTGTAAACACTGTTGCTGGGATCTTTATAGTAGAAAGATTTAGACCGTATTAGTTGATGCTGCTAGTGTCACCAGTAACAAATGTTGTGCTACAGGTTATTTTATGAAATGTTATTTCTATAGAGACGTATTGTTGATCCTGCTCTAGTTGGTCGTGTTGTGTTAGAACTATCAGTTCTTATAATCTCAATTTCTTTTTCATAAGCTTTGCTCAATAGAAGTAACGTGTGAATCGGCAAGCGTGATGGCAGCAACTCTGGCTAATGGTGGCTTTTGCCCAAAAAAAAGAGTACTGAGTCCTGAAGCAGTCCGGAATACCTTGAGTTTAATGCATTCTTGTGGCATGTATGACTTCTCAGGGCAGTTTGCCTTCCATGTAAGTAGCTTTTCAGATATTAGTTATAACAACCAGGAAGATTAATCCGTGCTATTGGTTTCCATGTTCCAGGCTGGCTTGCCTGCTTCTGGAATATGGGAGGGAGTGTTACATAAATTCTTTAGAAACTGAACAAACGGTGTGGGGAAATGTCACCTAGGACTCACGACGTGACTAGTACACCATACCTTGTAATAGTAGTTACCGTTCTCTGCCACTTCACACGTGGGAATCCTTTTCATGCTGAGACATAAATACTGTCCTTTAAGAGAGGCGTTACTGTTCTCTGCCACTTCACATGTGGGAATCCTTTTCACGCTGAGACATAAATACTGTCCTTTAAGAGAGGCTGTTCATGAGAGAAACAGGTGATTGATGCAGACGTAACTGGAAGCAGCATAACTGAAGAAATCCTGCTGTATGGGAGTAAAGGATAGCAGTAAGCCTTTGCAGACAGTCGCTTTTTCTTCACCGACTCAGGCTGTGTCATGAATTGTTCTTGTGAGTTGTAAAAGCACCTGTCATACACAGCATATGTACCATGCTTCTATTTTTCAGCAGTATGCTTCTTATGTGCAAGTGTTTCAATATGCACTGCATCTTATTTGTGTTTTCAGCACTTGGTTTTGGGTGGTTTTAGTTTTTCCTTGTTGCGTACATGTAAAATCGATTATGATGCTTGGTGTGACCTAAAAGTTATTGATTACTGAGCTGTGGGGATATGTGACATGTTAGTTCCTATTGGGGAAAAAGCAGTAGCTTTATCCAGATTGTAAATAAGTAGGTTAGTGTATGGCTTTATGTGCGGACTTTTCCGTTTTCGTGGGTTTTTGTTTTTTACCTTTTCCTGTTTCAAGGTTTTTTTAATATATATAGCTTTGTACTACTCCCTTGTTGCAAACTGTTCGTGACACATACGCTTGTGTACTACTGCTTAGTCATAATTGCTTCTTTTATAGTAGATTGGAATTATCTTTTTCACTGTATTACTGTCTCTCTTTGTTACTAAGAGCAAACAACTTTTATGATCGCGTACCTTGGATTGCTACAAACTGTGCTTCAGGTTATCGCCTTTCTAAAAAGCAGTAATGATTTCCCAGCTTAAATGACTTTCGATCTACATTTTATAAATGCTGCATAATAATCTTCAGTAAAATGCTAATGCATCATGTTACCATAGTGAAGAATGTTTGCAGAGGACAGTTAACTATTCAATTTTTCTATAGGTTGGTCTTCCTGCAAAATCTGGAGTTGCTGGTGGGATTCTTCTGGTTGTTCCTAATGTCATGGGCTTGATGTGCTGGTCGCCTGCTTTGGACAAGATGGGCAACAGTGTTAAAGGAATTCACTTTTGTCATGTAAGCACCATTGACTTTTAGTGCTTGTTTCTTTTTCTTTTGCAACTGATGCTTACTGAGCTTCAGTTGATATCGCTGAGATCTGACTGAACTCAATAGTGACTTTTTACTCTTCCATACATAGCAAGATTCATCTGATCTAAGGGTGAAAGTCCAAGAAAAGCCATTTGCATTTCAGTAATAATGACTCTAATTCAGTGAGCATTTAGAATATAAAATGCCAAAACCACTGGATAAATTTATGGTGAAAAAGCTTTGAAAAGGAGCACTTCATGAAGTAATGAAGGAGCTGGTCTTCTGTATCCTGCATTAGAAGCTGTAGAGCTTTATTTATAGGCTGCTTTTCCTCTCCGGTCATAAAGTAAAGCATTTTCAAAACTTTGGAAATGCAACTCTTCTTTCATTACAATAAAAGAAGATGATTCTCATAAAATGTTGCTATTCTCACGTATTTTTTAAACAGTTTTTGTGGATGAGCAGCAGTTAAAACTTTTCATACTTCTATTTATCTAGCGTCTGTACAGCTGCAAATTAAGAGCACTAAGAAGTTACTAATTCTAGTTTAATACTTCGAAGTTCATGTGTACTTGATCATTTAAATAAAGCATGATAGAACAGTAGGTAGGTGAAGGTTTTACTGTGCTTATTCTGTTATAAGAAGACCTAAAAGATGATAGATGATTATGGCAGACAAGTAACACTAATATAACACTCACTTTTAAATACACAACAGCATAGCAAAGTTAGCAAAGTTCTGTAATTATATAATCTTTCATGTTAGAATTCAAACTGAATTCAAATCAATTGTCATATATTTTCTTGTTTCATCCTTTCTGATTGAATTTTTAAGTTTGGTGTACTAAACCAGCCCAGACTATTCTTCCTCTTCCTGAAGTGTTTGATACAGCTGAAGATAAATAGATGTTTTGCAAATTGCTACTTGTTTTGTATTTCCTTAAAAAGGAGTTTAAAGGTGTTATTAGAACTTAATCGTATCACTGTATTGTGTTCGAAAGGCCTTACAGACATTGAGACTAATTTATTAAATAAGCTTCTCCTGTGACTGGTTTAAGTTGCTAGGGTATGATGTAAAACATAAGTGGTAGTAGTATTATAATCTCATGTGCATTTGACTATCACATGCAAATAATAATGTGTGGTCTCTATAAACGCTTGCAGGATCTGGTTTCTTTGTGCAATTTCCATAACTACGATAATTTGAGACACTTTGCAAAAAAGCTTGATCCTCGCAGAGAAGGTGGTGATCAGCGGGTAAGTTAATACGTGTGTGTGTGTTAGTGAGTATGGTTTGTAGATATCAGATGGCAAGTGGAAAGCTCTTCTGTAAATGCAGAACTGCTCAATGACATGTATTGCATCAAAGCTTTCAGATAAACTAGTTAGTTTATGTTATTAAGTGGACACTTAACCTGGGTGGGCCACGCTCTCACAGGGTTTTGCATAGTAGAATTTCATATTAGATTTGTAACTCCATTTCATGCAGTTCATCTCTCTTGCTACAGTAAGTATATGGTATCTGATAAAAGTTGCAAGGAGTTAGACTGTTCTGGTTGCCCTTAATAAAGATTTGACCAGCTGGCGGGCTCAGCCTTTCTGTTCTGTGCTGCGACGCATGAGATGTATGTTTAGCATTTTTTTCGCAGTGACACCTTTTGAGACCGCGTGGCTTGCTGAGAGCTGCACAGGCAGTGAATTCAGGTGTTACATTGCGGTAGACAAGTGCCTGTTACTAAGGAAGTGGTAGAAACAATCTCAGGGAATGAACTGAATCCAATCCAGCTACATGTACAAAAGAGAAAAGTGTGAGGATGCTTGAGATAAGGAAAACCTCTTTGCTTTTATTACCATTAATGTTCTAACTAAGGCGTGAAGATTTCAATAGGAGAAGAAACAGTAGAATAATTTTTAAAGTGCTTCTATTTGCATGTATACGTCTAGAAAACACCCAATTTGGAATTTGAATTTTTTTATAACTGGAAAAGAGAAAATGACAGTTTATGTGGAGAGGTGAAAAACTTGAGTCTGTTAGCATTGACTGCAAGTATGGATTTTTTTTTTTCCTTCAAACACACTAATAAATAATGTATGTTGCTTGAACAACTAGCATTCCTTTGGACCAATGGACTATGAGAATCTCCAGCAAGAACTTGCTTTAAAAGAAACAGTATGGAAAAAAGTGTCACCTGAATCAAACGAGGACATCTCCAGAACCGTAGTGTATAGAATGGAAGGTCGGGGAGACCAAAACTAAATGGGTTCTAGTTTCATTAAATTCTTCATTTTAAAAACTCTCAAGCATCTCTAGATTTAACTTGGATTTGAATATTGTTTGCCTGGTGTTTCATTTATATATACATTTTTTGTAAATTCTGTATGTTATACCAAAAAGACTGTCAAAGTTTAAGGTGGGGGCGAAAAAACACATGCATATGACAAAAACCAAAACTGTTAACTGACTTTTCTAGTTACTTAAAACATTTACTTTTAAAAAAAAAAAGAAAAGAAAAAGGTAAATCCGAATGTTTTCGAAGATATACCTCTTTTGTGTATATCTATTTTTGTTTATATCTGAGAATTTTAAGTAAATTAATTTAGAGCTAAGCAAAAACTTGCTATGTGTCCTCTGATCAGGGTCAGCATGAAAAGACAGAAGAATTCTAAGGAAAATGTAAAGTAGTATCAGCAAAATACAACAAATTCATGAATCTCTAAATAATTGTGTATTAAGTGGAGATGGGTTCTGAGTCATGTTATTACTGTATCCTCTCTTCTTTAATATGAGCTTTCAAATTGCTTGGAACAGAAACGGATCCCTTGGATATGCTGTGCTAGTGAAGATTATATTTTATTTTTTTTATCAGACCTTTAATAATTGTTAATGCTAACGTTTAAATAAAAAGAGCAAAAATGGCTGAGGAGGACTGGCAGAAGGGGGAGGGGTAAAAAAAAAAACCCGAAACAAAACTGCCTTGTGTGCAAGTTAACTAATGCAGCAGAAAGGTTTCTTACCAAATGATTTTGAGTGTCTTGCTAGCTGGTGCCAGCTGGTAGCCATGACTCAGAAGTCTGCCTTATTAATAATGCCGTGCTCCACCCCAGAGAGGAATGTAAGCAATCTTGGTTTTAGAGCTGTAACCAGCCGAGCAGGGACCAGGAAATACATTCACAGCAAAGCAGATAGGTAGATGTTATTAAAACTGTTTGCAATTAACTTAATTTTCAAATGGCGATGTGTGCACATGTTCATGTATGCGATCAGAGGTTTCGCTTACTTGCACAGGGGCAAATTTTTAAAAAGCTGTCAATTGCTACTTTTTAAAATGGTAGCAAGTTTGCACCTCTGTCAGCTTGCTAAGGAATAGGATTTGCATTCTTCTACAGGCAACTGCATCTGTTTATCTGCATAATTTGATAATATTGAGTATGTTGAGTAGGGTATAGCTTGAAATGGTGTCTCTAAGCTTCGACTAGGCTGAATAGGCAATGCTGGACAGAGGGCACACACTTGCTAAATTCTCGATGCTTTTAGCTATTAGATTCTTAATGATGCTGAAAACCTTAAAAAAAAATCTCTATATAAAGTTTTCCCCTTTATAAGTTTGCAGATAATTTGGTATACACATCATGCAGAGTCTTGGTTTATAAAACTGCAGAAAACTTGTCCCAATAATGATAAATGGTATTTGCTCGTTAAATATTTTGAGATGATGACAGATAATTCCCTAGGAACACCTACACCCTTCTCCCTGCCTCCTCCCCCAGTCCTCCCTTTTCAGTTTATCTAAAACTCCAAAGTGCATTCATATGGAGTTCTGCATAAGGGGAGAGTTAGGTTTTTCCTGCCCCTTTTTTGACCCTTCTGGGTGTTTGTGAATTCAGGAAGATGCATGAAGCAAAACCGATGTTCTCTGAGAAAGCAAGCTGTTCTTAATCACTCTGTGTAGGCATTGGTTGTTTTGCACAAACGTTTGAGTAAGCTCTGACTAAACCCTGAATAATCTTCATCTCGCAGTGCATTGTAAAAGGACGGGCTTCCTGTCTTTGAAGCCTAGGATTAAAATGTTTAAGCAAAACAAGACAACATCAATTTTCAGTGAATTTGAAGTCCTATTGGGATGAAGAGGTAAATCTGTGGTGCAGATGTCATTAATAAATGTCAGTCATAAATTGCTGAATCATAGCTGTTTTACAGTCTTATCCCTGATGGTAAGGTTAGGTTTGTCAGTGCTGATCTTGGAAACAAAGTAAAATAAGTAAAGGCAAAGTCTTGAATTATAAAAAATGTCTCGCCTGTTTGAGGATTTTACAGGAAACTAGTAGTTGCAGAGACATAACGAGTATTCAGGTCCTGCAAAACTACGTCTCTACCTGAAATACCCTCAGTTGCAAGGGGGAGCATAACGCATCTGTGCTGCTAATGAAAGGTCTTTACAGTGATGATGTTGCTTGTTAAATTACTCATTTAATTAAAAAAGGAAAATACATGATGCAGGATTTGCTTGATCTAATTCTACACACGTTATTTTTTTTGATTTTTAGACTATTTGAAGCTAATTCTAAAAACGTGGTTGAAGATGGAAAATTGTTCCATCTGGGTTTCAGCTTGAAAATAAGAGTCTTCACTGTATTTATGTTTGTCGGTTGCATACAAAATTTGTGGTAGAGGCAAGTCCTGCATGGGAAATAATATAAAATTAAGGAAACTATTAGATCTTTAATATGCATGATAAGACTATTTAGGGTACAGCTTACACAATCTTTACTTTAGAGAGATATATATATATATTACAGTTCTGTAATATGTGCTTTTTTGAAGCCTGTCTCAGAATTTAAGCCAGCCTCTAGTTAGGAGGAGACTCCTTAGGACCAATTATTTTGTAACTTGCCTCCGTTCACTGTTTCTTGTTCTGGCCTGCCATGTCTGTGTACAGAACAGATGGCTCTTGTTCACGGCAGGGCGGCACATAGGTAGCTGGGACCAGAGGTAGGTCTGCCGTGACGATTTACCCGTGCCCGCGTTCCGTTTGGTGAGCGGGTCCGACAGAACGCGGTGATAGAGGCTAGTCATTGAGTGTTCGACGTCTGCAACGGTTTTAGTGTTCACCTGTGCTACAGTCATAGCAATTCTTGATATTCAAGCATTTTAGCTGTTTGTTTGTTTTTCTTTGTTGGCATCATTAACATTTCATTAGAAATGTAAATGCTTTTCAAAATTTTATTTTAGCATTTGTGTTGTACTTTTTGGCTCAGTTGTTAAGTTACCTGTCTCGTTTTCCATTTTTCATTTGCATTGTATGTTATTTATGTATCTTGATTTCCAGCATGCTTATTTTTGTATTGTTTAATAAATTTATTTTAAGCTGATTTTTATTGTATTTTTTTTTCTCTCAATGGAGAACAGATTTGCTCAAACATGTTTTTGAGACTGAAGTGAGATAGCAAGCACTCCCTTCCAAAAAAGATAAAGTTCTGGAAAAGTAGGTGGAATAAGCAGATTTAGTTAAACCAGTCATTGAAAACCTTTCCAAAATTTCTTAAAGATTTTGTACAATAATCTAATTATTTTTCTCTTTGAACTGTTATCTTGGAAAGCTGAAAGCAAAAATCCAAAGTAGCAAAACTTTCTCAGCATGACTTTTCTAGTAAAAACGTCATGGTGCAGTAGGTTATTAACGTCACTGTGCATTTGTGTGGTTCTAAAGATACTAATTTTAGTCACTTGGAAAATGTGTGGTTAATGGTGCCAGTGCCAGGGTAGTAACTGTTGATCCTGAAGTGTAAAATACAGCTTGTCATAAATCACGCATAGCAAGGAAGGTGGTCCAAAACCCACATCCTTGTAGCAGCAACAGTGGGGTCTAAGCAACAGTTAGTTGGATCCGGGTTCCTGACAGAGCACTTGCCCTTTGTCACAGGCTTACTGTTTTTTTTCCTCATGAAAATTTATTCAAGATACTAAATAGTGGATGTATTTATAACACGATGATTCTGAGGCAAGATTTTGTCACCAGAGACATGCCCATACTGAGGATGGCCATAACTATTAATTTAGCTTTTCTGTAGATCGATTTGTAAACTGTAGTTACTTGTACTATGTTTTTTAAAACTAGCTGTATGTTCATTGTACATAAAATATCACATATCAAAAGAGTTTAATCTCTAAATGTCATAAACGTCATAAAGGTGAGGAAAGGTAGAAAACTAATAGATACAAAGAGAGAACCACAGGTGATTTACTGTAGAATTATTTT